ACACCATCTCATATTATCTTCCCCACACCTGTGTGACATGCTTGTTCTATGCCTCTTATTTCTCATGTAGTTGTCTTAACAGCCCTGCGTCACAGATGAGGAGTCCAGGGCCACACGGGTGGAGGGAGGCAGAGCAGGGCCACTGGGTATCCCCTGGAGGTTGGGAAGGACACAAGGGCCTGGAGAGAAGAACAGCATTTCTGGAAAGAGCTTTCTGCTTTCTCCCCCACAGGCTCAATCTGGCCCAGAGACATGCCAGGAGACCCAGTCCCAGCAGCTGGTGTCCCAGCTGACCCCAAACCCCACACCCAGCCCACTGGACACCTCCCCACGCCGACCCCCAGGCCCTACCACCTCCCCCACCAGCCCCTCCCTGAGCAGCCCAGGTAAGGGGCAGCCTGGGCCAGGGGCGGGCTGAGGGGAGTAGCCGGAGTCCTGTCCAGCTTTCCACAGCTCTGCCTCTGCTCTCCAGGTCAGCGGGATGATCTCATTGCCAGTATTCTCTCAGGTAGGGGTGGGGCCGCGGTGGGAGCGGGGCTATCCAGGAGGTGGAGCCTGCTGTGGGGCGGGGCTCCCGGAGGTGTGTGGTGCTCCCGAGGGCTTGGCCTGCCCCGGCCCAGCCTGCCTTTGCCCTGCTGCTCACAGAGGTGGCTGTAGCCCCGCTGGAAGAGCTCCGAGGCCACAAGGCTCTGGTGAAGCTCCAGAGCCGGCAAGAGCGAGACCTGCGGGAGCTGCACAAGAAGCATCAGCGGAAGGCGGTTGCCCTCACTCGCCGATTGCTGGACAGTCTGGCCCAGGCCCGGGCTGAGGGCAGGTGCCGACCCAGGCCAGGTGTCCTGTGAGTGCCCTGCCCACATGTGTGCGAGTGTGCTGTGTGCGTTGATATGAATATGGGGAGTAGTGCACATGGGCTTCTGCGTCTGGGCTAGGTGGGCATAGAGGATGGCCAAGGGCTGCTCCTTGACTCCCAGCGAGGAAGGTTGGGTGCAAGGGAGAGGCGGCTCTCCACGTTCGGTCCCACCTTCTTCCTGCCAAGGAGCGACTGTGGAAGACCCCCATGAGGAGCATGTTTTGAGAGACTGTTGCTCAGACAGGCTCCCATCATTTTGGTGGAGTGAACTGGCCTCCTAATTAGCATAACAAACTGTCCCGTGCCCTGCCCCCCTCTACCTCCCAGCCCAAGTCCTTGTGATGACCTATGAGTCACCCAGAGGGGTTCTTCCTACAGAGGGGGGGAGAACGAGAAGGAGGAGGAGGAGGAGGTGAAACGGTTTCAAGAGTTCCAGAAGAGACAGGTACAGAGTCTGCTGGAGCTGAGGGAGGCACAGGCTGACACAGAGACAGAACGGAAGCTGGAGCACCTGAGACAGGTGAGGGGAGCGTATAGTGGTGAGGGAGAGCCTGCCTCCTGGACAGACCTGTCGTCAGCCTGTCTCACCTATTGCCTGCCTGTGTCCACAGGCTCAGCAGCGGCTCAGGGAGATTGTCCTGGATGCTCACACAACTCAGCTCAAGAGGCTGAAGGAGACAAATGACAGGTAAAGGCAGAGGATCTTGTGGGGGGGGGGCGGGGGACTCCTTAGTGCCAGGATCAGGGCAGAGTCCCCAGTCCTGCCACTGACCCTTTCTCTTCCCCCACCGGCTCCTCCAGGGAGAAGAAGGAACTGCAGAAGATCCTGGACAGGAAACGTCACAATAGCATCTCAGAGGCCAAGACAAGGGAGAAACATAAGAAGGAGGCGTAAGGGCATCGGGGCTGGGAGTCATTTGGGGCACTGGGCAGGCAGGGGTTGGTGCCTGGCACTGAGCCCACCCTGCCTTGCTCCTGTGCAGGGAACTGACAGAGATCAACCGTCGGCACATCACCGAGTCAGTCAACTCCATCCGTCGGGTGAGTGAAGCTCAAGTGCTACCCTAGCCCACCCCGCTTCCTTCAGTCGTCAGAAACCCACCTCCTCCGCGCTGGCCTAGTGCGACATTGCCCTGGTGGGGCTTCCAGAGCCTTTCCCTCTGGGCCCCGCAGCTCGTTCTCGCCCACATCTTCTCCAAAGCCAGCTGTCTGCAGTAGTGTCCCATGGCTTTGGAGTCAGCCTGGAGCATTGGCTGTAAGGGTCAACTCGGGTCTCTAAGGGTCTCTCCCTTAGAGACCCTCTGCTGAGCCCTCATCTCCACCCACTAACAGCTGGAGGAGGCCCAGAAGCAGCGGCATGAACGCCTAATGGCGGGGCAGCAGCAGGTCCTACAGCAGCTCATAGAAGAGGAGCCCAAGGTGAGTCACTGAATGAGGTCGGCCGGCAGTGGCAGGCAGAGTGCCAGCTGGCCTGTCCTGTGATCCTCCTCCTTGTCCCGTAGATGCTGGCCCAGCTGACCCAGGAGTGTCAGGAGCAGCGGGCGAGGCTGCCCCAGGAGATCCGCCGGAGCCTGCTGGGCGAGACGCGAGAGGGGCTGGGGGACGGGCATCTGGTGGCTTGTGCCAGCAACGGTCATGCACCTGGGAGCAGCGGGCACCTGTCTGGCGCTGACTCGGAGACCCAAGAGGAGAATACGAAGCTCTGAACTGGCTGAGCAAGAGGTGGCCACAGGGCCAGGGGGTGCTGGGAGGAGGGCCGGAGGCTAAGACACTAATGCTCTTTTTTTTTTTTTTAACTTTTTATCTTTAGAAATTTTATTTTTTTAAACTGAGGTGAGCGCCCCACACTAACTCCCTTCCTTCACCCTCCTGGGCCCCTATTAGCCCCCAGCTCCTCCTTCCTGTCCTTAGTCCTAGGGAAGGTGCTGGGGCATTGTGGGCCAGAAAGGCCTGGGTGGGAGGACACCCACATCCCAGAGTGGGAGCAGTCTCCTTCGCTTCCCCAGGGAACACCGGGTGGAGACTGCAAGCTCTGGGAAGTAGGGGTCACATTCTTTCTCTTTTCTCTGGGGATTTTTTTACATGAATAAAAGTGGATTTCAGGGACCCTGTGTGCAGCGTGGTTTGGGGTGGCACAGTGCTGGAGAGGACCCAGGGCCCTAGGCCTGCTCGGCCACTTCTCCTGGGGCCTCAGTTTCCTCATCTATGAAATGGGCTTTTGGGCACTGTGGGTTTGAGGTCAGCGAAGAATTGCTGGGTTTGAACCTTGAGCCCTCCTCGCCGGGGTCTGTAGCTCTTCCCAATGACGTGACATCAGAGGCCCTCCGGCCTGCCCCAGGCTTTCCTGCCTCTATGCCCTCTGCCCCTGGACCTTACTTTTCTCCCTCCTGGGCTCTTCTTGTCCTCCTTTCACAGAGGCTCAGGCCTCTGCTTCAGGAAGCCTTCCCTGCCCCCCCTTCCTGTTGCCTGATATGACCCGAGCGCCCAGCATCTTCCGCTGAGGCTGCTCTCGGCTCCACAGGCAGTTGACTGTATCGGGAGATGGACTAGGGGTGGAGCTGGGCTCTCAGCAGTAGGTGGGCAGTGGGTGGGCCTGGCAGTGACCCTTGGGCGAAGGGAAGGTGACAGTCACAGACAGGGGCTGAGAGACCCAGCACCCTCTCATCCCTGTGAGGGAGATGTTATGCCTTTTTTACAGATGAGGAAACTGAGGCCCAGAGCAGAAGTCATGTGTGCCAGGCCAAGTCAAGACGTCTTAACCTGGAGGCAGGGTGGGCCTGGACCCTCTATGGCAGAGTCTGCAGCCAGCCTGGAGGACCTGCTCCCCCTCCTGCCTCGGGACAGCGTGGAGTGGCAGAGACCCCGCCGCGAGGGTGCGGCTGGTTCTGCTGCAGGGTCAGGCTGGCACTCCTTCAAGGCCTCTCCCAGCTTCCTGGCAGAGCTTCCCAGGCCAACTGCCTCCCTTGTACAGAGGAAGGCAGACTCTTATCTGGGCTTATCTCCTGCCAATTGAGTGTTTTCTTTCTTTGTTTTTGCTGCAGCCTCAGGCAAACAGATGGGGTGGGGAGGCCGGAGAAACAGGACTTCCAGAGTGGGGCTCTCCTAGGGCAGGGGGCCTTTACCCTAGGCCCCGCACCTTCAGGGTCAATACTATGGCCCAGGCCTTCCCTGCTTCTGCGGTCAGGCCTTGGCCTATCCCCAGATCTGCCCACTGCATTTATGTCCAGGCCCCTCAGCAGCCATCGCCTATCTTCGTGGCTCACCTCCACATATGGAAACACTACACGTCAGTCCCCCAGTCCCCAAAGACCATGCTAAACCGCAAACCCCTGGGTATGACATTCAAGTCCCTTAGAAGCCTGGCCTCTGCTGCTCCCCCACGCTTTCCACGGTTTCACTCTTTACTCTGCCCAGAATGACAGCCCCCTCCCCCATCTCTCCCTTCGAGTTCCAGTTCTGACTCACCTCCTCCCTGCCTTTCCCCTGCCGGAGGGAGTCGCTCTCACCCAAGTTCTGGCTCCTGTTATAGCTGGTGGTAATTTCACTTTGAGAGGCTGATTCTCTCCTTGCCAGAAAGCTTCGGTACGCAAGAGCTGTGTCTTAATTCATCTCTGTACACCCAGAACAAATCACTGGCTAGTCAATAGAGGGCGCCAATAAATCTTCCTGGAATTGAGCTCGGAACTCTGCTCCCAGGTTCTGGTGAAGCTTCTCTGGTTCCTTTAGTGATCACTCTATTCACAGCCCTTGGCCCAGCCTGCCGCCGCCCCGCCTCCGCCCTGCGCGCCCTGCCAGTTCCCAGAACAGCGCTGGCCCCAGGCCGGCCACACAGTAGCTGCTCTAAAGGACTGACCCAAATAGGAACAAATGACCCTCCCTGGGGGACGGCGGCACGGTTTGCAGAACGCAGAATTCCGGCGGCCGGCCGGCCTGCAGTTACCAATTACCAGATTAGAGATAAGGACCTGGACGTCCCTGGGGCCCGGCAGCACTCCGCTTCCTGGGAGCCAAGTAGCCCTGGCTCCGCTCGCCGACTCCTTGTCTCGGTCACTCAGAAAGAGACTCAGTTTCCCTTACGTGTGAAACGCAGGCACCGTCTGAAACTCAGTGCTCCCTCTGCCCGCAAAGCCCCTAGCGATGGACAGGAGAGTCGGCGGCACAGACGCGGGCTTTATTAGCATTTTTAGTGGCGATCATCGGCCCCCAGGGTCACCTCAGAGGAAAAGGTTCTGTTGAAGTTAGGGTTATTCCGACTCTCACCTGGCGCAGGCGCCTGGGGCGGGTCAGGGGGCTACTTCCGGTAGCTAAGGGCAGAATAACTTCAAAATATCCGATGGGGCCGAATCCTCGGTGGTCCCTGCACACACCGGAAGGAAATTGGGCTCTGGTTCAAACCCCCTCTTTCTGAAAGGGACAGACCTGATCCTCTTTTTGCATAGGCCTGCGGAAACGACTTCCGCCCACACCCAAGATGGCTGACAACAGAGGCGCGAACGGGGAGAGCTTCCGGAAGTGGGACGCAAGGTCATTGGGAGGGGGCGGAGCCTCCTCTTCCCAAGTTCCGATCCCACCAGGACTGGAAGATGTGCGTCCAGCTGGAGTTTTGCCGCATCTGCGTCGCTGTGCCCGCGCTTTTCGGGCGAGGAAGTCCCTTCGGGGTGGGAGGAGGAAAAAATTAAGTGAGTTAGCTTTTATCCTGGCAGCCCGAGTCAGGGGCCTCCACTTCCAGAATCCTAGCTCTAAGTGAGAAGCCGGGGAAAGCAAAGACCACAGCTCCCAGCATCCCCTTTGCCGGGGGAGGAGGGGCGGTCTTCTAACTACTTAATTAAGCATGAGAGTTATCTTGTTTGGCCCCTTAGGAATGAGACGAGTTAGATCCTAGACGCTCCTTGCCAGGGGCGGGGCGAGAGGGCACCTAAGGCCTTGTATGTTAGCGCCTGAACCGGAGATCTATCACGTGGAAAATGGGACCACAATACGAGTATTAAAGAAGTGGTTCCGAAGTTGAAGGCAGAGACCTCGGACATCTGAAAGAGCCAGCCAAGAGCAGAGAGGCTCGCATGCCTCACGCTCCACGGATTTCGGGATCCCAAAAGCTTTGGAATTCTGGAGCGGGGCCTGGACTACAGATCCCAGCATGTTCTGGGGCTCGGGAAGGAACGAGTCCCGAGACTGCAGGTCCCGGCATGCCGTGGAATTCGGACGGGACAGCCAAGTGGGAGGTGACCAGGAGTGCAGGTCCCGGCATGCTCTAGGACTAGCCCGTCCCTTCGCCGCGGCGGCGCTCACCTTGAAGGAACCCTCGAACTCATCGCTCATCCTCCGGAGCTCACGGCCATAGCGCTGTGCAGCCCAGAGGTTGGGAGGCGCTGAACGTGAGCGTCCCCGGAAGGGGCTGGGCTCCTCCTCCTCTGGCTCTTCATCCTCCTCGTTCCCGGCGGGGTACGAGCTGTGGCGACTCCTGGGCTCCACAGACCCGGCGCCTGCAGAGAGAGTTGGGGGTGGGGTGGGGTGGGGTGGCGACGTGAATCCCAATTCCTTTGTGCCCCCAGCATTCGCTCCACCAGCCCGCTGATGTATCTGTGTGCACATGAGAGTATATCTTCAGGGCGCCAGTTCCCTCAAATATAAATTGAGAGGAGCATAGGTTTTTTTGTGAAGATTCGAATTAACTTCTCCTTAATCCCACAAATCTTAATTGAGCCCTTATAATGGGCCAGGGCCTTAGCGTATAAAAGGAGCTTTCTCTATGCCTGGCACAAAATAACGGCATAATAAATAGTAGATATATTCATTAGTGCAAGACCAGGAGGCCTCCCAGCAAGCACCTGGGTTGTTAGCTCTTTAATCATCTCCATCCTCCAGCAGAGGAGACCAATCCCCTGGATGAAGAGGTGTCCTGTCCCCAGCCTGGCAGGGCTGAACTCCAGCTCTGCAGGTGACCTGCTGGTGCTCGTCTGTTTCACTGTTGTGGCTTCCAGGAGACCCTGGAGAACCAGAACCTGTCAGCAGCTTGTCTGCACCTCCCACAGCACCTGATTTGGAGAAAATGTCCAGACAGGTCTGTTGACTAGGTAATATTTACGGAGAACTTATTGTGTGCTAGGCCCTGGGCATTACCTTATTATCCTCCTAACCGTCCTGGGAGGTGAGTACTAACACTGCCTCCATTTTACAAATGAGAAAACAGGCTTAAAGAGGTTAAGACTTGCCCAGGGCCACACAGCTGTGAAACTCTGAGGCTAGAAATCCCTAGACGTTTGTTGGAATCCAGAGTCTAGTGATTATTCCTTGAGCTTCACCTCTTCCCTTGTCCAAGCACCCTTCAGCTCTCTCTGAGTCTGTGTCTTCACCTCTGTGGGGACAAACCTAGCCTTTAACTACCAGTGGCTGTGTAATACAGGTTACAAAAATAGTATGAAAGTGCTTTGTAAGCTAAAAGTGCATGATGGTCATTATTCAATGAGGCACCTTTGCTGTGTTCGGAGTTTGTCTGACTTGTCTACTGTGTGCCATCCTCCCACTCCTGCCAACCCCATCCCCATATCCAGACCAACAAACACTCAACAACCACTCCCCAGAGCAAAAACCCAGAGCTAAGTAATAGTGGAAGACAGGCCTGGAGCAAGCGCCGGAAACGGGCTCAGAGGAGTCAGTGCAAGGCCCATCTGTCAGGGAAGGCAATTTTGGAGAAAGCAAGATTTAGGCCAGACTTTGAAGCCAGGGGATAACTATCTCCTCCCTACAAAGGACCTTCCGTAGAGCCCGTGGGTCAGCTCCAGGGGCTGCAGGGATTCCGGGGTCCCAGCTCCAGATATATGGCCGAGAAAGCCAAGAAAAGGAAGAGAGGGTGGATCCAGGAAGGCCTAAGCTAAGAGGGTGTGGTCAGAGTCCCTACCTGTTCTGAATGTCACCAAAGCCCAGGCCCAAGATCAGGTAGGGACACAATAAAGCCTTTTAGGGGTGAGATGGCAGTGGGCACAGGTAGCTAAATCAGGAGTGGGGATTGGGGATAGGGACTGGAGGAACCAGGAATAGACTCCTGACAGGATCAGGCCCATTTGTGGGGTGTGGGCAGTGAAGCCGGGGTCAGGAGCTCAGTGGGCCCCACCTCAACCACCATATTCCTGCTTTCACCTCCTGAAGCCTCCCAGCTTCCCAGTGAGGCAGATGCCAAGTTCTCCCTATTTTACAGATGAAGAAATGGAGGCACTTAGAGGTTAGGAACTTGCCTAAGGTCACACAGCTGGCCACTTAAGTGCTCAGGAAGTATCAGCTATTATTCTCCTTTACTAACTCTAAGAACCACACAACCACCACACTTGACAGATGCAAGGCCCTAGAGTCAGAAGGTGAGTGATTTGCAGATGGACACATGGTCTGGGCACTGCCGCCTCGCCCAGGATCACAAGCATAAGAGCACTTGCTGTGTCAACATGGAAGTGCTTCACGGGTATTTAATTCATTACATCCCCATCACACCCTATGAGGGAAGTTACTCACTGTCTCTATTGACAGAGAAAACTAAGGCACAGAGAGGGCGAGTAACGTGCCAAGGTCACTCAGTCAATAAGTAGACAAACAGGAATACAAACTTAAACAGTCTAGCTTCAGGGTCTGAATCTGTAATTCTCATGCCTCAGGCTCCCCTTGGGAGCCCAGGTTGGGGAACGCATCCCAGACTTTCTGCTAATGCCAGCTCTATCAGAAGCCTAGTCTATGGGGTGGGGGATTTAGCAGTGCCAAGCCAGCCATTGTCAAAATGGAACTCATTTGTGTCAACTAAATTTTTAAAAAGTATCCTATTTACTGGAAAAAAAAAACCTGAAGGACTTTTGTAAACTCCCTGAGGGGAGGGGACGTGCATGCGAACCATCCCACCTTCAATCGGCTCTCACCCCTTCATGACCCTGGGCAGGGCAGAGGCAGAGGCAGCTCTCTCCACTCTGGGGAAGGAAAGGGAGAGGAAGGGGGCATGGCTCTTCTGTGAGTGAGCATGAGTGGGTGCCCAGGCGTGCCCACTGTCGCTGGCCATCTTCCCAAAGAACAGGCCTGGGGCTGGGGTGGGGAAATGGGAGGAGCCTGTGGCTGGAGGTGCCCCAGCCCCAGGAAAGGTTTTCCTTTACACTTGGGCTTCTGAGTAAGTGGGTAGGGCTGAACATATCCATTGTCATGCGCCCATGAACATCCTTGCACACTTAATTAAAACAATGGTGTTCCAGACAGTTGCAGGCAGTGAAGCCCTGCTTTCTACCAAAGGAACCACCAAACAAGTGTGACCTTAGGCAAGTCACTTCCCCTTTCTGGCTCACTGCCTGCCTTGGTGATTTGTTCTGGTCCTACACTAACAGCTACATTCTTTGAGCATTTTGTAAGCGCCAGCACCGTAATCAAATGCTTCTTATATATTCTGCTAATCATCCTAATAGCCCTACAGTGTTTTACAGAAGAGAAAACTGAGGCACAGGGACTTACACAAAGCTACCCAGTGAGTGTGGATGTGGCTGAGGTGCAGGTAACTACTGGGCTGGGGGCAAAGGAGACAGGCAGGTGGTTGTGTAGGGGGGTGCCTACCTCCATTGTGGCTGCTGCTGGCTGGCTGCCCCTGCTGATGACCAGCTTCCCCCAGGAGGCCTGAGGCCGTACACCGGTGCTTGCTGAGGCCTGGGGGCTGGTCCCCCGTGGGGCTGGGGCCCAGGCCCCTATCTGCAGGTCTGGAGTCTTCCTGCTCACTCTGCTCAAACTCTGGGATCTGGAACATGCTCTGGGCTGTGGGGGCAAGATGGTAGGTAGTTAAGGCACAGCTGGAACAAACAGCGGCCGGCGGGCGTGGGGGAGCAAGAGCCCCTGGTTCCCTCTCCCACCTTAGAACCCCAGGTCCGCCCTGCCTCCCAGGCCCCCATTTGTCCGCTGAGTCTGGCTGGGCAGGGAGCTCGACCTGTCCACGTAGGACCTAAATCTCCTTCCGGAGCCCTGGTGCTGTGGAGCCCCAGGCCCCGGACCCGCCCGCCCATGGTGACCGTACGGCAGTCTCACCCTAAGCCCGATCTCGAGGCGCCAGACCCGGGCCTGCACCTCCCTCTAGCACCTAGTTGCCTGGGAAACGGGAACTGTCACCCACCCGGCCCAATCAACTATCGTAATGTCACCAGGGCTGGCCAGAAGGCGGAGCCACTCTCGGCCGGGGCCCCGCCCCCCGCTGCCGGACCTGTTTGCTCCCCACCCACCGCCTTCCTCTTGGGTCCGTTCTTTGCCGCCGTATACGCTACTCCCGACTTTCTTGGATATGGGGCGTGTGTGGAAGCAGATGAGGGATTCTCTTAACCTGAGGACTAGCTTCTACTGACAAGTCCTTCAGCCCCTCTGGGCCTTAGTTTCCACCCCTGTAAAACAGGGACGATGACATCTCCCTCAGGAGCCAGTGAACTTTGTAAACCGAGTGATTACTGTGAGTGAAAGCACTTTGCAAAGCTTTAATTGAAACTCAGCCGTCGGATGCATTGTTGTTGCTGTTGTCACTGCTCCGTCCGACTAGGTGACCGGGTTTCTCCTCCTCCCCACTGTGGAAACTTGGCACCGCCCGCATCAGGTGCACCACTCCCCGCGCCATCTGCGGAGCACTCGAGATAAGCAAGGAGCCTCCTCCCTGTCAGGATGGCTGTCCCGGCTCAGGAAAAGGGATAAGGGTTCCTGTGAGGGTGGCCGTAGGACTCGCGGTTGTTTCGCGCGCGCGCGGCGGCCAGCCAGGTGAGCGGGAACCACAGCCGGCCCGGGCGAGGGGCGGGCGGACCTTCCGGGAGCTGCGGGGCCCCGCGGGTTCAGATCCAGGGGGCGGGACCCGGGGCCATCTTGGCTGAGGGCGGAAGTTTCCTTCAGAGAGCGGGCGGGGGAAAGGCGTTGCGGCCCTCGGCCTGGCTGCGCGATCTGTTAGAGGATGGGAAAGAGAAGCATGGGCGCTGGCAGCCCCTCTAAGAAGCAGAGGCCGGTGGTCCCGGGCACGGCCCGCCCTACTGCCGGCCGGTTGCGGTGCCGCCCCAGCGCCTTGGCCGCGGGCCGCCTCCCGTAACCCTTGGCGCCCGCCGGCGACGTAGCTTGCTCCCATTCTTGAAAGACTGCGCGCCGGGCGCTGCGCGGGATTCGGAGCCCCGGCTAGACCCTGCGCAATTTGCGTGGCGAACGGCGCGCGCGCAGGCGCAAGAGGGGGCGGAGCCGCGGGAGCCGGGGAGCCGGAGCCCCGGTTCCCAGCGACCGGAGCCGGCTCCCCCAGCGGCAGACCAAGGCCTGGCGTCGACCTTTTCCCGCTCCTCGCGGTTGGAGAGTGGGTGCAGTGGGGGGTGGGTTGGGGGCAGCGTCTGGAATTTCGAGGACCAAAGGCAGAGGCCCACCCCCCTACCCCATCCGGATTATTGAAGGGGAGAAAGCTCACCAGTTTGAGGAGGGGGAGAGCCGGGTCCCCCTTCAGCGGCTGCTACCCTGAGCCGACGGGCATAGGCCGGCTCTCCCCCTCCTGCCGGGACGACTCCAGCGAGCCAAGGCCAAGGACCCCTTTCCTTCAGCCCCTGCAACCCCCAGGTCCTGGCTCTGGGATTGGCCCACCACCCCAGTCAGCTCTAGAGAGATTGCCCTTCCACGCTCCTGAGTGAGGGGCTCGGGGCCAGGCCCCAGGCTGCCTGTGCCCCTCCTCAAGGGCTACTGCAAGGGCGAGTGTCCCTCTGTTGCGGGAGAAGGCCTGGCCAGCCACAACTTCTTTCCTCCTGAGTTCTCCATCTCTGCCTCTGCACCCTGCAGCTCCCACCCCTCTGTATTTATTTTTACTTTCCTGGCCCCCTGCCAGCCCCTCCATCTCTGTCTCAAGATTCAAGCCTCTCTTCCTGACATGGAGAGTAACCTGTCTGGCCTGGTGCCTGCTGCTGGGCTGGTGCCTGCGCTTCCACCGGCTGTGACCCTGGGGCTGACTGCGGCCTACACCACTCTGTATGCCCTGCTCTTCTTCTCCGTCTATGCCCAGCTCTGGCTGGTGCTCCTGTATGGGCACAAGCGTCTCAGCTATCAGACGGTGTTCCTTGCACTCTGTCTGCTCTGGGCTGCCTTGCGTACTACCCTCTTCTCCTTCTACTTCCGAGATACCCCCCGAGCCAACCGCCTGGGGCCCCTGCCCTTTTGGCTTCTCTACTGCTGCCCTGTCTGCCTGCAGTTCTTCACACTGACGCTTATGAACCTCTACTTTGCCCAGGTAACTCTGGTAATGGGTGGGAGTGGGCCGTGGGGGTGGCAAGCCCCAAAGGCCCAAAGGAATGATGGGCGTTTCTCCTCCCAGGTGGTGTTCAAGGCCAAGGTGAAGCGTCGGCCAGAGATGAGCCGAGGCTTGTAAGTACTTGGGACACTGGTGGGCTCAGTCCTCAAGCCAGGGGGAGCCCAGTGCCCATTCCTTACGCCATGGCAGAGCTGAGGCGAGGACAGCCCAGGGGATGTTTGTGAAAGAGCTTGGAAAAGTGCAGCACCTGGCACAGATGGCTCAGCAGAGGCGTTGCATATGTGAAGGGCAACAATAATAGAAACAGCGAGGGGAGTGGGGACCCGTGTCATTCACGGTGGAGGAGGAGCTGGAGGCTCCAGCAGCCCTTGGAAGCTCTAAAGCCAAACCGATTCTGGGTGACCTTGGGCAGTGATACTCTTGTCATTTGTATAACATCTCACGGTTTTTAAAGAGTTTTCACAAACATCTTTAATTTTTACAACTTAGTTGTGAGGTTCTTATTATCCCCATTTGAGAGATGAAGAAACTGAGGCCCAGGCAAGGAAAGCAACATGTTCAAGGTCCTAGACCTGCTGGAGGCTGAGCCAGGGCTTAAACCCAGATCTCTGATTCCCAAGCTAGGGCTCCTTCCAACGGACCACAGCTGTCAGTCACCTCTGACCCCCTTGGCCCTCAGTTTCCCCATTTGTAAAACCGGAGGAGTAGGTTCAGACTGGATGACCTGAGGTTCTGATAGACACCGGGGTCTCCTGCGGGAGGTTGGGTGGGGGGTGAGCACTAAGGGCTGTAGACAGGGGCTGACTCTGCTGTGGGCTGCAGGCTGGCCGTCCGAGGGGCCTTTGTGGGGGCCTCGCTGCTCTTTCTGCTGGTGAATGTGCTGTGTGCTGTGCTGTCCCGCCGGCGCCGGGCACAGCCCTGGGCCCTCCTGCTGGTGCGTGTCCTGGTGAGCGACTCTCTCTTTGTTATCTGCGCACTCTCTCTTGCCGCCTGCCTCTGCCTTGTTGCCCGGCGGGCCCCCTCCACCAGCATCTACCTGGAGGCCAAGGTAGGGTCACAAGCCCTGATGCTTGGTGTCCTGTGGGATCTTTGGGTGTTGCTCTTCAGGGTAGATGGGAAGCTGGAGCCTCTCCTCCCTGAGGGTCCCCTGTTGTCATCCGTGCCAGGGGACCAGTGTGTGCCAGGCGGCTGCGATGGGTGGTGCCATGGTTCTGCTCTATGCCAGTCGGGCCTGCTACAACCTGGCGGCCTTGGCTTTGGCCCCCCGGAGCCGGCTCGATGCCTTCGATTACGACTGGTACAACGTCTCTGACCAGGTGGGCATTGGACACATCTGCCACCTCTTTAGTAGCCATGGCTCCTGGTCCCCAGCTGGCCTGGGCCGTGGCATGGTGTCCCACTGGCACGGTGGCAGATTGACACAAGCCCCTGCTTTCCCACAGGCGGACCTGGTGAATGACCTAGGGAACAAAGGCTACTTGGTGTTTGGCCTCATCCTCTTTGTGTGGGAGCTGCTGCCCACCACCCTGCTGGTGGGCTTCTTCCGGGTGCACCGGCCTCCACAGGACCTGGTGAGGGCCAGTGGAGAGGTGTGGCGCTGGGACTCCATGGGCTGGGGCCTGGGTGGGTTGGGGGAGGTCCGTGGGGGGCAGGAGAGAGCATCAACGGCAGCTTACTCCCCCAGAGCACCAGCCGCATCCTCAATGGGCAGGTCTTTGGTTCCCGTTCCTACTTCTTCGACCGGGCTGGGCACTGTGAAGAAGAGAGCTGCTCCTGGGAGCATGGCCGGGGCGAGAGCACCAGGTAGGAGCCCCAGCCCCACCTCAAGACCTGGCTTGCTCCATGGAGCCATGGGGACCTAGAGCCAGGTCTTGTCACCCAGCCCCCAGCCCCTACAGTAGTCTTTGTTTCTGTCTGTACTAGGTGGGGGCCCCCTCTGATTTCCACCTCTTGCCCCGAGGATGCAGTTTGCCACAGTCTGTGGGGCTCAAGCCCTGGGTCCTAGAGGTCTGGGTCACTGGGCTCTGTTCTAAGCCTTTCTCCCTCCCCCAACTCTTGTGAATATGGCCCTGGTCACTGCCTTGGGACTGACCCTGTTTCTCTGCCTGCAGCATGTCGGGCAGCCTAGGCTCTGGCAGCTGGTACGGCGCCATCGGGCGGGAGCCAGGCTGGTGTGGGGGCAGCCAGACGCGGACCACCCCTCTGCTCTTCTCCCAGGTGCTGGGACCAGGCAGCCACCACCACAGTCTCTATTCCACCCCACAGACGTGATCCCCCTCCATTTCTCCCCAGAACACCCAGACCCCAATCCTTCTCACCCAGGCCCCTGTGCCAATTTCATCTGCTGCTTCTTGCCCAGGATCCTGGGGGCTGTGGCTGCCTCCTCCCCCGGCCGGCTCCTTGCTACTTCTATTGTAGTGAGTTTGTGCTGTCCCCTAGGATGGGGGACATGGCCCTGGCTGCCAGATGCCCACAGCACCCTGGCATGACCTGCCGCCTCCGCTTCTACGCTGGAGCCAGCTACCTCTCCTGCACCTGCCACTCAATAAACAGTGTCTGTGCCCCATGTCCGTCCACCGTCTGTCAGTTATCTGTGCTCTTCGAATCATCACTTGTTTGGCTGAAGGCTGATCAGATACTGGCCACTGAAGGGGGTCGCCGGGCTTCAGGGGCCACTTACCTCCCCCAGGCTGGTGGGCAAGGAGATGGAGGAACCTGCAGGCTGAGGGGAAGGGAGACCACAAGAGCCCTGCTCCCACTCATCTCCCCCTACTTGAATAATTTCTACTCTTTCTTCAAGGCCTTCAAATGTCACCTCCTTTATGAAGCCTTCCCTCTCAGGGTCAGGGTACCTCCTGAGTCTCCTTGCACTGTAACTATGTGGCTTTTATGCCTGTCGCCCTCTAGTGGATTGGGATTTCTGGAGACCCTGCTTCCCTGTCATTACATCCAACCTGGCCTTCAGGTCCAGGAGTTAGTTCAAGGGCCTGCAGAGGAATTGGCCCATGACTTAGCAACCCCCATCTCCCTACCAGGTATGGGTTTGGCTGGGTGGGGTGGGGGGCTGTCCCTATACAGTCTGCCTGGTTGTCCTGAGCCCCCTTCTTTGGACGCCTCTAATGGCATAGTCAGTGCCCTCTGCTGCCACAGCCCTAGGAGATTTGTCTCTTGGCTGGCAGTTATTTATCAAACAGCCTGTCTCCTGCACACGGACCTGGCCATCCCAGCTCCTTGGAGTCCCTGGGGCCTAGCACTTCACTTGGGACTATCCTGGAAACCAGGCCTTCAAGGACTTCCGGAAAGTGCATCTGAGAATCGGAGAATCAGCTAGAAGCTGGACAATCACTTTTTGTTAAAAGGAAAATTGCAAACATTTGTAGAGCACTTTATTGTGTGTGCTCTGCACACAATAGAGCATTTAGAAATACTGACCTCTTTAATGCTCAGAACAGCATTTAGAAATACTGACCTCTTTAATGCTCAGAACAGCACCCTGAGGTGAGAGTTAGCATCCCATTTTACAAGGAGGGACTGGCAGGCTCCAGTTTGGTAACTGGTCTAGGCCACCTACTGGAAGGGGGTGGTCAGCCTCAGAGCCCACGCTTCTGCCACCCACCCTGAGGGCTGAGGATCCCAGGCAAAAGCAGGGTCTTGGAGAGGGGGGGCGGGTTGTAAAGTGGCTAAGAACAACAATGGCTGGAGTTCCAGGACCTGCCAGGGCCCTGGCTGTTCAGACTGTGGGGGAGGGAGGGCTGGCATCAGTTCCATGCTGGGATGGGCATGCTGAGGACTAAGGGATGGGGACACAGGAGCAGGGACAGGAGGTGGCCCAGCATGACTTCCCACAACTGGGCCCCACCCCACATGGGCCAACTCCAGCTCGCCTTAGTGGATCCTTCACCCTTTGATGGAATCGCCTCCCTCCTAAATAAATGTTGAGCTCAAGGGCCAGGCTGTCCCCAGGGGCGGGCAGCTAAGGGCCCTTCAGATCTGACGGTGGGCCTGGGAGGTTAGCGTGGCGCCTGTCCAGAGAGGTGAGCCGGATGATGTCCAGCCTCGGGCCGTGCCACTGGCACACCGGCTGGCCGAAGGGGCAGTGCCAGGGCTCTGGTCTGAGACTCCAGCGACAACCCTTCTTGGGCTCCTCTGCCACTCATCTCCGGGACCGGGACGGGATTAGGGCACTGAGCGGCGGCAGGTTAGGGGCTGCAAAGGGAGGCGCCGGCGGCGACGGCGCAGCCCGGAGGGAAACGCGGCACTGGAGGGGTTAAACGCGGGAAGAGGGGGGCTTCTGGCGGCGGGAGGGGGGTCCCAGCCTTGGCGGCCGCCCGCTCCGCCCCTGCAGCCGCCGCCGCCTCCGCGGCCCAGCCGGCACCGGCGAGGCCGCGCGGGAGCCTGAGCCGCAGCTGCAGCCGCAGCCTCAGCCGCAGCGGGGCCAACAGTGAGTGCGGGCGGATGGGCGCGGGAAGGAGTGCGGATAGGACTGCCGGGCGGGGCGCGCCGTGGGCGACCGTCCGGGCGGGGCGCCACCTCCCTCTCGTGGGCGCCCCGGGGAATTGTGCGGCCGCGCGTCCTGCCGTCCGTCACGCTCCGAGGCGTCGGCGTAAAGACGCGGGAGGCAGTAGGAGCGAGCGGCGAGTGTGCAGTGTGTCTGGGCGGCGGGCGCTGCGCTGTGGCCCCGCGGTCTGGGTGTGCGTATGCGAGCGTGTGCACACGTGTGCGTGGACCTTTGGGGTGCCGCGGCCTGGCCCACCTGCCCCTGGGGGTCCGGGTGTGCCCGTGAGTCTGGGGAGAGTGCAGGCTGAGCGTTTGCATGCAGCCTGAGCAACCGGGCGGCTGGCACCGCAGGGAGGAGCGTGGGCGCGCGGAGCTTTGTGCGGCGCGTGTGCGCGTGGGCGCCGCCCCCGCCGCCCCGGGGGCTGACAGCTGCCCCGGGGGCTGCTGCGCTGGTCCGGCCCTTGTTGCCCCCGCCCCGCACCTTCCCGGAACTCGGCACCCTCCCTCTCCTCCTACCCCCAATCCCGGCTATGCCTCGCCTCTGCGCAGCGACCCGGACCCGCCCCTGGGTTCCTCGAAAGCCCTGCGGGGCGCTGGGGGACCCTGGAGTCTCCCCGACCGGCCCATCGTGGCTAGCAGCGTTGCAGGGAGAGGCTGGAGGGGAGAGTGGAATCGCGAAGATGCTGCCGCAGCAGCCGTGGACCAACCGGGACCCGGCAGCCAGGTCCCCGCCCTGTGCAGTCCGGCCTCTCCTCCCGCTTTCCCGTTGAGAACCCGCGCCCGCTCAGCCTCCTCCTTTGAGACTGGTTCCCCACGGCCCCGCCAGGCTCCCGGCGTTTCCTCGCTCGCCCTGCCTTTCCCGCAGAAGGCTCAGTCTCTCCCTCTTCCACGCTCCTTCCTTTCCCTTCCCGGTGCCCTCTTCTCTTCTTGTACCCTGGAGTCCCCGGACAGGGGCTGAGGGCCGGGCCGTGGAGGTAAGGGGGAGGACCGAAGTTGGGGGGAGGACTGGGTGTGTTCTGGTCCCAAGTGTCCAGCCAGAGGAATATGAGGAGAAGACTTCTGTGGGCAGTAGGGCTGGGGGCTCCAAGGACTTTGGGGCGTGTAAGGGTTGGAGGAGGGTGTAGGGGTGTCAGGCCAGGTTACTGATCCAAGCCTCCCCGGTTTTGCCCACAGTGACCGCAGCCCTCCAGGAGCCTCCTGCTCGGCCTCCCCAGGAGGGCAGTGGAATTGGCCGGGCCCCTGGGCGCGCCATGCGCAGCACCACGCTGCTGGCTTTGCTGGCGCTGGTCCTGCTCTACTTGGTGTCTGGTGCCCTGGTGTTCCGGGCCCTGGAGCAGCCCTATGAGCAGCAGGCCCAGAGGGAGCTAGGGGAGGTCCGAGAGAAGTTCCTGAGGCTCCATCCATGTGTGAGCGACCAAGACGTGGGGCTCTTCATCAAGGTGCGTGGACGAGAGCCCCTTCAGCAGTCACCCATGACCCCCTGGTACTAGCTGCATGGCAGTGGGGCCATGTGCTGGGGTGCTGCTTCCAGACCCACATCCCTGAGAGCCAGGTGCAGCTGGAGGGTGCAGGGCAGAGACTGGGATCCAGGTCTCTGTGTTTTCAATATGGCGGCCATGGGGGCACTTGTTTTCTTTGCTGTGCCTGGCATTAGATCATGCTCCTGGAAAGTCTCCTTCAGCATGTGAGGGTGGTTGAATGAAGGAAGGATTGAAGGAAGAAATGAATGAATGGCTGTAGCACGTGAGATATGTTATATTTTCACAGCTCTAACTTACTGGTCTAGGGTTGCCAGATAAAATCCAAGATATCAGTTAAATATGAATTTCAGCTAAACAACAAATAGTTTTAAAATATAGTTATGTCCCATGCAATATTTTTATTTGCTAAATCTGGCAACCCCACACTGGTTCCTATACTTCTTTGGAGTCACAGATGCCTTAGAGAAGCCCAAGAACACTGAACACTCCCCTTGCCCCCGGAAAAGGACACATATAAACACGCACAGACGATTTCAGAGGGTTCCAGGCTCCCCTATGCCTGTCCATGCCACCATGGATGCCAGGTTAAGTATGCCTTTGCCCCAGGACAGATGCTTATGACATTGGGGCTAGAGGGAGGGCAAATCAGGAACAGGGGCAGCTTTGGTCTCATGAGTAGAGAAAATGCTGGGCTTCAATCTTCTGGATTACTGTCAGGCAACACTTCTGTGGTTTTCTCTGATTCCTGAGTCACTATCCTATTAAAAACCTAAGATTTAACTTTAATAAATGAATGTTTATTACTTTAGTAAAGAGTATCTCTTTTTCTGCCTGTTTGTTTGGAGGGATGGGCCATCGACATGGAGGCCTCCATGTTCCAGCTGATTCCCAATGTGACAGGACCCAGAGCAGAGATGAGGGTGGGGTGGGGCCGAGACATAGGGCTGCCTGACATTGTCTCTGACATTTCTAGAATGCCAAGCAAGGCTCCAAAAGGCCTGGGCAGGAGAGTGTGTCTGGCCAGACCACTGGGCAGAAGGAGGGAGGGAATCTGACCTATTTTATCTTCACAATGGAATTGCTTTTATTCCTGGATTAAAAAAAAAAAAAAAAGAGCAGAACCTAGAATGATGGGCAACAGCTGCTCTATTTCGCTTTCACAATTAGTCAATCATGAAGCAATTATGCACCTACTGTGTGCTAGGTACTTGCTATACACCATAGGGTGAGCAGGGAAATTGACATCGGGGTGGAACAGATGCAGGCCCTGGTCTAGAAGATGTCACATGTGGACTAGGAGACAGATTCGAGGACAGCTAATTTTAGAATTCAGTGGAAAAGGAGCTTTCCTTACTTCCTATTTTGTTAACTACCTGTTGTGTGCTGGGCCCTGGGCTAGGAGCCGGGGGCAAGAGGGGAGATGCCAGGGGCCTTTGTGAAGAGCTGGTACTTGAAATGAGGCAGGTGAGATGGGTAGAATTTAGAGATGTGTGATTGGATTGCAAGGGAATGCAGGCAGAGGAACAGCATGGGCAAAGGCGTAGAAGCCGGAAAACGCAGAGTGTTTTTGCAGAACTTGGATTTAGCAGATGCCTAGTCATTTGAAGCAAAAATTAGAACGCACAGGATGACAAAGGATTTTTTTTTCCCCTAAGTAGTGAATTTGCTGGAAAAGTGTTGCAAAATAAAAATTAAATCACCTTTAATCATACATTTCACTTCTTGGCTTTATTTAAAAATTATTATTACAGGAAATGAGATCATCTCAGAAATCTGTGGAGAAGGTCACCGTACTTTGGGTTCCCAAATGGGAGTCTCAGGAGAGAAGACTGAGGGAGGGGAAGTTGGGACCAGATTGAAAGGGATTTAAACTCTGGGCTAGGGAGTTTGGACTCCACTCTGCAGACAGCAGGTTTAGCTATGGAGGATTTGGGGCAGTCACTTTAGGACAATTAATTTGCAAAGGGTCTTGCTAATGCAGACTGCAGAGAAAGATGTAGTTTATGATCTCCCCCACACCCACTACTTTTGTGTCTTGGCTTTGTGCTCCTTGGGGAAGGGGCCCTCTTCACCATGCTCTGACCTCTATTCCTTAGGGCAGGTGCTCTCAAAACACAGACCCTGCCCCAGGGGTCCTGCAGGCTGGCAAGAGGGGCAGACACATGGCTATTTCATTAATCATATTTATTGAGCACCAGTTACGTAAAACCAGATTTCAGCAGGCTGGGCAAGGGTTTGTGTGTCCACGAAACTCCTAAAATTGGATGCAAAATTAGGGAGGGTCCCTAATTTTCATCAGATTTTCGAAGAAAAGGGCTCAAATTCAGCTTCCATAGGGCCAGTGGGAGTGATAGGGTCTGTGGAAAGCTAGAAATCACTGGGCATGATCACTACGTGATGACTAATTTAACGAACACACGCTGCTTTAACTCTTCACAATAATTCTATATGGTAGGTTTAATCATCTCCACTTGGTAGATGCTGACATGGAGGCAGGGAGAGTTAGCTTGCTCCAGTTCATATAGCACCAAGGTTTGAACCCAGGCGGTCTGGTCTCAGAGTCTGTATTCCTGAATACTGTAAAATTGGAAATCCGTTGTGTGAAATTAGGGGGCAGATAACTCAAATGTTTCTAAAACAATGTGGAGGTCAAATGAAATTTGGCCACCCAATTTGCATTGTCTGCTCTAAGGGATTGCCTTCAAGGAGACCAGAGGGAAGGGAAGAGCTGGGAGGGGTGGGAAGGGAACCACTCTAAAGACTGAAGGGCCAGGGGATTGTCCAGGACAGGAAGGAAGGACTGAGGTTCCTCCCTCTGCGCCTTGTCCTGCAGGAGGTGGCGGATGCCCTGGGAGGGGGTGCGAACCCTGACATCAACTCAACCAGTCACAGCAACTACTCAGTCTGGGACCTGGGAAGCGCCTTCTTTTTCTCAGGCACCATCATCACCACCATCGGTGGGGGAGGGGACTGGGCATGTGGAGCGGGGCAACAGGGGCTGGGCTTTCTCATCGGGGAAGAGGCAGGGGGAGGTAGGGGTGCCAGGCAGCCCCTAGACCTCCTGCACGGCCCTTTTGCCCAGGCTATGGCAATGCTGCTCTGCGCACAGATGCCGGGCGCCTCTTCTGCATCTTTTATGCACTGGTGGGGATCCCGCTGTTCGGGATCCTGCTGGCAGGGGTCGGGGACCGGCTGGGCTCCTCCCTGCGCCGCGGCATCGGTCACATCGAAGCCATCTTTCTGGTGAGCAGTTCCGCGCCCTTGTGTTGGGTTTGGGATATCCTTCCCTACGTCCCCTTTTCCGCACGTGAGCGCGGGGCCCTGAGATCGCAGGAGCCTACCCCGCAGGTTCCCAGAGGAGGGGGAGTGGGGTGTGAGAATGGAGGTGTTGGAGACTCCTGGGTCCTGCCTACTGCCCCTCCCTGCAGAAGTGGCACGTGCCTCCGGAGCTGGTGCGAGTTCTGTCCGCGGTGCTCTTCCTGCTGGTCGGCTGCCTGCTCTTTGTCCTCACCCCCACATTCGTGTTCTGCTATGTGGAGGGCTGGAGCAAGCTTGAGGCCATCTACTTCGTCGTAGTGACGCTCACCACGGTGGGGTTCGGGGACTATGTGGCCGGTGAGGCCACCTTTCTTGTGCTGCACTCCCCCACTTTATTCCTGTCCAGGGGCTCTGTACTCTCGCTTCTCCCTCCAAATTCCACGTGGCGTTTTCTGCCCTCACATGGGATCGCTCCAGCCCCTACATTCGCTCACCGAATGCACTCTCACATTTTTGCACGGATGCAACACCTCATGTACACTTACGTTCTTGCATGCCTGCGCCTCCGTGCATGTTCACACATATAAGATGCACCCGTCACACATGCTCACATTCTTGCACGTGAGCACCCTCACTCTTATCTTGCACACCTTCGAGTCGTGCACACTCTCGAGTCGTGCACACTTATCTTCTTGCGTGCATTCAAACACACACTCATTGCCCAGGGGAGGGCGGATCCTCTCAATGAGCAGGGAGGCGGGGCCGTGAAACAGCGCTCACAGCCTCAGCGCCTGTCCCACAATCGACTTCTTTCTGCCCTCCCCGGTGGTATCCCAGGCGCCAGCCCCAACCAGAACTCTGCAGCCTACCAGCCGCTGGTGTGGTTCTGGATCCTGCTCGGCCTGGCCTACTTCGCCTCCGTCCTCACCACCATCGGGAACTGGCTGCGAGTAGTGTCCCGCCGCACTCGGGCAGAGGTAGGCGTCCCTGGGTCGGCACCGCGCCTGAGCCGTGGCGCTGTACCCCAGCTGCCGCTTAGCCAGCCCGCCTCCCTTCCAGCGTTGGGGGCTCCTCCAGGCAGGGACTGAATGAGTCCCGGTGTGGCCTGGGGACAAAGGGATAAACTCAGACAGGTTTGCAGATGATTTTTAACTCTGCTCTTATGGATAGGGTTGCCAGACTTACCCAATAAAAAAGCAAGAAGCCCAGTTAAATGTGAATTTCAGATACACATCAAAAAATGTTTCCGTGTAAGTACATGCCAAATATTGCATGGAACATACTTACACTAAGATCGTAGTTGTTTATTTGAAATTCAAATTTAATCGGGCGACCTTTATTTTGTCAGCCCATTCTCCGCGCCTAGCGGACGAACGGGGTGGAGGCGCAAAGGTGTCTGGGAACATGGGAGGGACAGCTGAAATAAAACGAGTTTTCTAGAAACGCTCTGGGGGAAGAGGGCGCTTCGCTGCGATGGAGGAGGGGAGAGCGTGCGGCTGGGCGATGAGGCTTTCCCTCCTTGGGCGCGCTGAGGCAGGAGGACTAGAGGGGAAGGGAGGCGATGCGTGAGTGGCAAAGGGCAGGCGCCCGGGAGTGCGAAGCCGGTCGAGGACTGCCTTTCCTCCCGCACAGATGGGCGGCTTCACGGCTCAGGCTGCCAGCTGGACCGGCACGGTGACAGCGCGGGTGACCCAGAGAGGCGGGCCCATGGCACCACCGCCGCCG